AACCTGCTACATACACAGCAAGCATCTGCTGAGACTCTGATGCGAAGGAGCCAGGAAACAGACGTGACTGGGGACTGCTGCCCTCATAGGGGGCAGAGACTGCAGCACTCCACTTGCCAGCAAGACTTCAACCCAGAGTAGTCAATTTATCTTTAAGTTGATTTATCTTTCTCTCACTCTAGGATGGTGATTTGACAAAGAAAAATTTTAGATTTCTAAGGCTGTGATTGGCAAATTATATACTATCATACCCCAAAGATTTATAAGTCAAAATATCTAGATTTTCCCCAGTTCTTTGAACACTCCCCAGTCGACCTCCCTCTTTGGAAAACCTCTCTAAGCAGAGAGAGGTTTCCAGCTCTGGGAATGCCCTCCAGGCAGGCTAGTGGACCCTGGCTTGAAGGTAGAGCCCCACCTTGGACAGGCTTGGACACCTTGACAGCTCACCTTGGGTAAGGGCATTCTCTACCCCGGTTCTCTCAGTCCTTCCAGCAGGTCTCTGACAGTCACTTCCCTAGGTCTGTAACTTCAAGAGGTTTGCTGTGTGCATATTCACAAATTTGTTCAGTGGGGGTTTTAGGGAAATACCTGAACATGGGCCTTATGTGTCCCCTGCGTTGCTCTAAGGTGCAGATCTGTAGCATGATGGCTCTGTCATGTTGAGGCCAGAGGACAAATTCCAGCACATAACAAAATAATGCTTGCATAGTCTCAGTGTTTCTCACTTATCTAAAAAGACCCCTTACAGGTAACTTTAATGCATCCAGCAGTGAAGGTGGTGCTGTGATGAACCAACCCCCAGGTCTCCTCGGTGAACTCCAACAACTGCCAGCAATTCCCAACCCGGCCTATCCTCACCCTTCCACTTCCCTGTGGCCCCAAAGGAGACGCGTCTGAGTCAGTGTGCAGACCTTGCATCACAAAATCAGCAAATATTTTGTCCAATTCTATGAGATAAAAGAACCTAAACACGTTTACAATACCTTTATCATACATAATATATTCAAAAGTAAATTTAAAATTACATCAGATATCTAGATTGCACATTACCTTAATTCAATCACTATGTTTTACACTTAATTTCACAAATCAGGTCTAACAATCTCACACATGAACTCACTGCATGCCTCTAGATAGGTTTTGATCTGTAGGTCCCCTCCCTTTATCTCCTCCTGTATTTTATATGTTTAAGGTATAAGGTAGTGTGTTCTATACACTTTCCACATTTTCCAGAGTGCATTTTTGTGGTTTATTTTACCATGTTCCTCTGACTTTGGTTCTTGTGAATTAGTGGATATACATGAAGATTCATTATATTAGATTCCCCTTTCCGTCTCCCTTCCAACCTCCCCCTGCCCTTCCTTTCTTTTCTTGCTTGGTATTAACCTTTCTTGGGAGGTGCCTTGATCCTACCGTCCTTCTTTCTATAATGTTGGTGACCAGAGACCCATTGCCCAGATCCACTGTTCATCAGAAGGTATGACAGGAGCTTTTTCTGATTGCAAGCTCGTATTTGTGGTGGCACTGCCTCCTCTTAGGTGTGAATTCTCTTCGAGGGACTAGCGTCATGGTCATTTTGAGTCCGTCTATTAATGTAGAATGTCTTTGTATTTATTAGGTCAATTTGGATTTTCAGGGACATTTAAAGTTCCCCTCACTTAGATTATTTATCTAATTATAATGATTCTACATGCTTTCTTTCTATTACACCTGCTAATAATATTTCAATATGCTTTTGATTCTCCACATGGATTTTCAGCTTGCTTCTTTGCCAAGTTCTCTAACAGTCTGTAGCAATGGTCTCCTTCATTCTCTGAGGTTCGCTCTGTAAACCACAGTGTCTGTAAGTAGAATCACTCACTCCCTCTCCAATGCTTGTGCCTGCATGGCCTTCCTTCTGCGGCACGCTGGGCAGTGTGATGTGCCAGCCTGGGCCTCGCCTTGTTTGTCCCCTGCCACCTTGGGCACTGGGATTCGCCCTCTGGTCCATGCTGGACTGTAGAGCCAGTCCTCCAGGGTGGAGGAATCTTCTGCAGCACTAGAGGTGACTCTCGTAATAAAGGAAGTGAGACCTATGGAATCTGGTTACAGACAGTGAGGCCAGGATAACGTTAACAAGTTAAGGGGCAGATCATACTGTAGGGTTCTAGTACACTTTTCTCCTGCCAACTGACATCAACTGTAAAACTCTTTCTCATATTAATACAAGACAGAGTTCTGGAGAGACGTGGATCATTAGAACCTTGCCATGGGTGAACCATAGTCTCCCCCACAAGTCTGTGTGATTCCTACCCCTGGTGAGATGGAACGAGGAGGGGGAGCCTCTAGGAGGACAGGTGGGCTACGGGGCTATGCTCCTCTGGATGGGACCAGTGTCCCTACAGAGAGCCGCTCCTGTCCTTCCACAGTCTGAAGATTCAAAGGAGATGAAGACAGAGCCCTCATCAGATACGACCTCCAGCCCCCGACCTTGGGCTCCCCAGTCTCCAGAATTTGAGCCAGGAACTTGTTGTTCACAAATGATCAATCTGAGGTATGTTAGAGAGGCACAAACCATGCAAGACCAAGAAAAATGGAGATAGGACTTCCTATTAGCGGAAAACACTCCCTGTGAAGAGCCCCATGAGCAGCCATTTAATCCTGCAGAGGACACTGAGGTTGGAGATGCTGACATTCTGGGGCACACCCTAACATCTCCTCAAGGATGTCCCTCTTGTCAATCTTCCTGTGGAGGAAAAGTTGCCAACACACAGGCACCTGACTTGGGAGCAAGGAAAATCTCCAGCCAATCTACGATGAGGATCTCTTTCTTATGGGCTTTTTTCTTTAAATTTCAACGGAAAACATATTTGTTAAACTTCGATTATATACAAAAATGCTGAATCAGACACAGTTCCAACCCCCCAGGAGTTGACATTCTCATGAGCAGCTGACAGATCAGTCAATAAGCTCAAAACAGAGTAAAATAAATACTTAGAAGAGCTCCAAGGTCTTTCTAGGTCTGATTCTGAACACAGCAATGATTTGCTAAGCATTTTGTTGAAAGTCGTGGTAGAATGAAGAATGAGGAAGCCCACCTTCCCTGGGCAGCAGGGGAATCTAGAATGTACGACTCAAGCCAATGGCCTTTATGAACACAGCTCACAAGAGAAATTAGGAACTGCTGAGCCAGCTTGAGACAAGACATGCATTCATCATTACGAAAATGATTTTACCTTCTAAATGACTCCTATTTGCTACTGTACACAATAGCCAAGCAAAACTGCTAAGATAATGACATTTTTAAACAAATATTTATTATTTGCAAACTACAGTCTAAGACTTGATCTTGACATTTATTCCCAATTGCCTAAAACTATCATTTAACAGGGATTCTTTCTTTACATTCAGAAAAATGTTATTCTCAGGCTGTAAATACATCATTAAAACAGTTAGCAGACAGAAAGAATAATGGGCTCATGCAATTGCAGAATAATAAACGTACTTAATTAGAAGTCAACGTGAGTCTGGTGTACGTATGGTCTATCTGCACAGACCTTGGATGGTTGAGTCTGGTGCGGAGGAGTTGGGGGAGGCCAGGCCCCCAACACAGGACATCACACAGCATCACCCCATCTATGAGTCCTTCATGTCCCTTAGCAGGACGTGGACAAGCTAGTCAATTACTACACACATGAAAACTTGTGCATTTCCTAAGGTGAAGATGTGAGGAACTGACACCCATGCGGGACAACCTTGAGCTGACAGGGGCCCATGTCCCTGCATGACCGTGTCACCTCCTGGTCACACTTGACTGCCTTCTTTCTAATCCTGGCCACTATATTTCTTATAGTAAGCAATACACAAGTAAATACATGAAGCTTTACTTTTTCTCATGTATGCAAAAACATGAAAAGAGAAGAAACCCATGGTTTCATTTCAAACTGGACTTTTGTCAAATTTAGTCAAGAATGAGGTTTGAGCTTGACTCCTTAGATCAGGTGAGACAGCACGAGATGTCAGATTACATGCAAGATGATTCACAGCTTTTGTAGAACTAAAATTGTTGGAATTTTTAACATTTATAAGCCTTCCCACTTTCAACAGCAATGGCAGCTGTGAACATTTCTTCAAAATGTACCGTGTCTGGCGGAAGCATCAGAACTGCTATTGTGTGATTATGTTCATTCCCACAACTCTGTGCGTGTGTCATTACACCCCTGTTTTACAATGAGGAGACCAGTGTTTACTACAGGTTCTTCATCTTGGCCAAGACATCTCTGCTAATATAAGCCACAGAACTGGGTTTCAAATGTACTCAATTCAAATCCTTGTCCAATGTCACTGATTACCACATGTATACTTTAAGAAAACAGATCCCAGATTTCAGGTGACAGAAAACTCAATAATAAAGGAATAACAAATTAAAAATTCTCTCCAAATGCTGGGCAATTATAATTCTTCCTTAACAACATGCAGCTTAGGTTTCTGTCTGTCCACCTGTAGCTTTTCACAGGTTTATTTTCCTTCTCCACTTTGCTAAGGCAACATGTATTTCTATACTCTTCTTTAATGTTTAATTTTTAGTTCTCCTTAATTTAAGAAATTCAATGTTTTTAAAATGCACTAAATTGTGGTTGGATTGAAAATCAACAATGTTTCTCTAACAAGTTTTTCTGAGTTTCCAAGAGTCCTGTGCATGAGTGCTGCATGGAGAAGAAGTTACCGAGAACAGCTGGGACAATGACACAGAGGATTTCCACCACGATGTCTGGCCCTCTCTGCTCTGATTTGAGACCCGCACCTTCTCTCTCTCTCTCTCTCCCTGACCTGGTTGAAACTGCATTTCAATAAGCAGAGCTCAGATCTTCGTCTCACACTGTCTTTGAAAACAAGTGACTCTTTTCGGTGTTGGAGTATGCCAGTTGTTTACTAGACCACAAAAATTGAAATTGATAAATAAATACCTGAAAAAGCAATTAAAGTTCAAAAGAAAAGAGTTCAAAAGAAAGCCTACTTACTTGTTCAAACTCATTCTTCTGAAATTCTTCAAAACCAAAGATGTCCAGGATTCCAATATCTAGGGTCTGCAAGCTGGAAGAAAAGGAGACACCAGAGTAGCTGGGCATGCTTAGCACTCCTACACGCCCCTCGACTCCCCGCTCCTTCAGGGCAGCAGAGCCCCGACACAGCATGGAAGGCCCATGCGGGATAAAAACATGCAAATAGGTACCTTAGAGTCTGGGGAGTCTGAGGTTACCAAAAGGAAAGTGTCCCGCTAAGGCTCTGATGCCAACAGATGCCCTCATGGAAACACTCTGCTTCCTAATTTTACAAGGTAACGGTTCCTGGGTGGGATAGTATTTGCTTCTCTGAACCATCCTGTGTCCGTCTTTGGAGACCTGACTCGCTTTCCCCGGGAAGCACGACCCTTTGTCTAGAGGCTTACTTTCCTGGGTCTGTCCAGCCTCCGCAGCCTGACTACAAGAAGGCACATAACATCAGGCCCTGGGATAGATCAAACTCAGCCACCTGAAAACTAATTCGATCTTCAAAGAGGAAGTCGTACAGAGTGAAGAAAGGGAAATTTTGAAGGGCGATTTTAAAAAACCAATCTTGTCGTTCAGTGTAAGCTGTTACTCCTGGAATTCGTGACAGCCTGGATGACTGTTTTAGACGTGAGCACCCACAGTAGCACCTGCGTGACACAGGCTGCAAACGCTGTGGCCCTAGGACGGGCACACGGGCTGCAACAGGGGCACGAGCCTGAGGTGGCTTCTTGCAAAAGGAGCCTCAGACCACGAGGACCTCCGGCCACCTAGGAGGGCAACCACACCTGTCCCCCACATTGACCTCAAGGTCAGGGCCACTCCTGCCATCTTGGCTTTCAGCTGTAGGGGCGCTGAGTCTGTACCCCAGAGCTCTCCCAGTTCCCACCCTCATGTTTGGGGCTCAATTTTCCTTATTTCCTCTCCAGCTGCTTTTTCCGACTGCAGAACAAAATTGGCAGCCAACTCTGTTTTTGCAATTGTATTTTGTTTTTAACAAACATACACAACTATAATACTTTAGAGTCTGCAATACATCACTTAAATGAGCTTTTCCCTCTGTTAAAAATGTAGAGTGATGATCCCATGATTTTCTATTAGATTATTTGTTGCAGATTGTAAAAAGATGAGATTCATAGGTAGCAAGGAGAGCGTTTGAAAGCCCCTTACCCTAACTTCCCCTGCCAAAGTAGGAAAGGAAGTAAAAGACAGAGGAACCATTCAGTGTATGTCTCTGGTTGATTAAGTTTTTTTTTTTAATTTGTTCTAATTAATTATATATACATGACAGTAGCATGCACTTTGTCACATCCTACATAAATGGAGTTTGATTTCTCATTCTTCTGGTTGTACGTGACGTAGAATCACACTGGCTATGTACTCATATATGCACACAGGGTAATGATGTCTGATTCATCCTACTATTTGAAAGGAAAAAGAACAAGATAGCACAGAATGTGCTCCAGTGGACTTGCAGCACCTTAGAGAGTTAAATGCTAACACAAGAAGCTACAAATGGGATCTTTCAAACACTTTAGCATCTATGAAAGTCTTTTGCAAGATAAATTGTGCAAATTAGTTTCTGTTGAAGGCAGGCTTTATTTAAAAGGTGTGTCATTCATTGTTAGACTTGTGAATCCACCGACACCTCCATCCTCTTAATGAGTACAGGGAGACGTTGGGAATGAAGCTCACTTCACATCAGCTGTGGTGCCAAGAGCCAGGGTGGTTCTTTTGCTTTGGTTGTGTGTGCTCACCGTGTGTGTGTGTGTGTGTGTGCGCGCGCGCGCGCGTGCCGCGACATGGGTGTCTGTGGGCACATGCGTACTTTCATGTTCCCTAATGAGCCCCATTGTTTCTCCTATTGAGACTCGGCTATGAAGTTTCTTGGGCCTTAAGAGTTATTCAGCCTTGGATAGAAATCCTGGTTCAAATGCTTTTTGGATAAGTTACTTAAATTTTCTGAGCTGCAGTTTCTCGTGTATAAAAATAAGATTAGTAAAATGCATCCACCTAGATGGTAGCGACAATTAGAAGTGATATAAATGATATTCCAGGATAATAGCTGGTGTATGTGTCTCTAGCAAATGGAAGTCACCTTAAAGAGAAAGTTGTTGCATAAACTTCTGGAGTGGATGAGAACGGTCAAGTGGAAGGCGCATCAATGTCTAGCAGGCAGGTGAAAATGTTCATCTCTTCAAAATTGCAAGGAAATAAAATTTTTAAAATTAGGGTGAAAAAGATTCCCCCCTACACATTTTTGGAGTTTACATTGATAAAGGCTTCCTCAGAATCAATTTGGTTATTAGTATACAGTTTTGTAATATTGACATCATTTGAAATAATATTTCTACATATAGGAGCATAGGCTAAGAAAATGATAAAAAATGCAGTGAAGACTTGTGAACAAGGATGTTCATTGTTATCTTAATTACAGCAACAGCCGCACAAAGGGATAACAAATAGCCCACACTAAAGACAATTAATTAAATAGGAGGCGTCATGTGATAGATTAATTTAATGAAACTGCCAAGTGAACAGAAAGCAACAGATAAATTCTGTGCCAGGACTAAGCCCAACTGCATACCCAGAAGACCAGAAAGAGCCGGTGCCAGTGGAGAAGATGGTGGGTGGGTTTGGGTCACTTCCTCCTGCTATCCCACTCTTTCTACATTGGAACACGTTTATTTGATAAGCAGCAGATATTCAAGGGATTTCTACAAAGGTATTATGAAAACACAGAAAACGTTCACGGACGACATTAAGCTAAATAAAAGCTGGAAAGAAATGCATACCCCACAGCAATAATAGGCACGATCCAACCCTGATTAAATGAACCTAGGAGTAGGGAGATTAAAGATGTCAGAGGATGGCAAGTCGGAGGGGCTTCTTAGCCTTCCAAGTGTTCTACACTGAGCACTACAATGAACCACCCTTAACTTTATATTAAAAATCTAGGTGATGGAACACCTGCTGGGGCACTCTCCTCTTGTGGAGGAGATGGACTTCAGTCACCTGCAGGCAGAGAGGGCGGTAGAGTCCTCAGTGGCAGGGAGAGAAGCTGGTTTTGCAATGACAGGGTTCGCAGCAGGAATCCCAGAAATCAGGAGAGAATGGAGGTCACTCTGGGGAAGCCACATGCCCACATCGGAGCGGAGGCCTCCTCTGTCCTCTTGTGTCAGGGCATGCCTCCGGCTGTCATCTCCACCCCTCTAAGGGGCTCCCAGCTGACCTAGCCAATGGGGGCCTTGTAATTTTGGCACACAGTTCTGGTAGAACTTCAGGAAAAGGCCGCAGACCCCAGGACAACCAGGCCACTTCCTCCACACCGCCCCTCGTGGCAGGATGCCAGGGTGGTGCCATGGCACAGGGTAAGACGCACTGCCCCAGGCCTGGGTGGCCCAGGTGTGTAAAGGCTTTTGACCCAGATCAACAGCAATGGCGTCAGCGCACATTTGATTGAAAGGGGAACTCTCTTAAATGATTTTTTCTTCAGTTTTTGGGTTCCAAATATATTTGGTTACAAAATAAAGATATTTTTGAAAAGAACGATAAGAAAGGAAAATCTATTGTCCCTGAAAAAAGTGCAAGTTTAAAGCATTTTAGGATGATTTTAGCAGTTACTCCAGACAGAACATGTTCATTTCTAAAGTCTGTTGTGTCTCTTATCAGTGAAGGAAATATGTGCCTGTGGTCCCAGGAGCACCCTGGGCTGGAAGGTGACAACAGGGTGCCTGTGCCGGGCAGCAGCCAGCACTGGTGTCCCCCTCGGTGGCATCTCACTCCTTACACAGGACTTGAACTCACCACCAGTTTCTGGCAGGGAGGAACAAAGGGGCTCTCTGGCCAGTCAGGACTCGGCCCTTCAGGCAATATTAAGGACCCACAGTGGGCTGCTTTAGCTCACCTTCTGCTGTGACTGTCCCCACAGCTCCCCAGTGGCCAACAGGCTGTCTGGCAGGAGTGAGCTTATTATTAAGACACGAGTACTCAGAGCCACCTCATCAGGCTGGCCTGGGTTTTATTTGACCTTCCTGTGTGTAGGTACTGATGAGAGAGAACATTCTGAATCGAATAGAAGGCCTACATTAGGTCTTGGGCTAACCCCTCATTTGAGCTGAGGAATCCTAGGTTTGTCCTCAGCATCCCCAGTGGTGAGATTCCCTAGAGGTGCCTGAGCACCTGGTCCACTGTCACAGAGCTTGACCCTGCTTGGTGTAAACCCTTAGAGAAGCCAGAGGCGCAGCAGCCGCCTAGGCTGATCACGAGCCACGGTGCCCCGACTGAGGAACAGGGTGGGAACCAACACAATGACTTGAGCAACCTCACTGCCCAGCTTCCCGGCCTTGGGGGGCAGCAGGGCTCATGTGGAGGCCAGCATGGAATGTCCCTAGGGATGGGCCAGTGCTGAGGCCTGGTGCAGGTGGGCAGTGCTGTCCACGTGCTCTCATGTTCACTTAAAGCAGGTTGTAGTTTGCTGGTTTTCTTAACTAACCAGGTGCATTCACTGTGGAGGCCACCGGTCTAGGTGCTCAGCTTCACTAAGCGGCAAGGTTTCCCTAGCCTACGTGAGGAACCTGGGAGGGAGGAGCAGGAGCCCGCATTGTTTACTTGGGGGGATGCCTCCCTTTTATTCTTTTCTTGAGGGTGGGGGTACTGGGGATTGAACTCAAGGGCACGCAACCACCGAGCCACATCCCCAGCCCTGTTTTGTATTTTATTTAGAGACAGGGTCTCACTGAGTTGCTGAGTGCCTCACCATGGCTGAGGCTGGCTTTGAACTCGTCATCCTCCTGCCTCAGCCTCCCTAAGCTCTGTGCAAACCGACTCCTTCTTAGGTCAGTTCTTCCTCCCGCTTCCCGCACTGGATGTGGAAGTTTGGAAGTGCACAGCTGAGGGTCCCGGGCATGGAGAGGGCCCTGGACGGGGAAGCTGGAGCTCATGTCTCATTGATCACTGTGCGCCAGCACTGCGACCTGTGTTCTGAGACACTGACCCAACTTCACCCAAGCAACTCCCTGATTCCGCCACGAGGCGAATGCCAGA